CAGAAAATGCTAACTTGTATCTTCTTCAAACATTGCATGTATGTATCACAGGGAAAGGAAGGGTCCAGATGACACTCCTCATGGGCCCTGCTCTGAAAATTTTTATTTAACCCAATTCACACGTAGACCATCCCCTTAACCTTACACCAGGGAAACTTCCTGTAGAGTCAATCCAGATTGTATTAGAGGAGCTGAGGAAGAAAGGTGGGTTCAGTTCCTCAGATACCTACTTCCTTCTTCTTAACTGGGTTTTCCTGAGGGCAGAGCAGGACATCTCTTTCATTTTAATGACTTTCTCTCCTCCAGCTTGAAGCCTCAAGTATTCAGAGATGGCCCCGTTCTTTCCCCCCATTAATATACAAAATTAAAATCGTTCTATGGCCTATACCTGAAGAGAGATGGACTAAGGAAATAGGATGCTTTATAAGTAAGAATAGTACTGAGTCGCTTTTTTTTTTTTTTTGAGACAGGGTTTCTCTGTATAGCTTTGGCGCCTTTCCTGGAACTCATTCTGTAGACCAGGCTGGCCTCGAACTCACAGAGATCCACCTGCCTCTGCCTCCTGAGTGCTGGGATTAAAGGTGTGCGCCACCAATGCCCGGCTGAATACTGAATCTCTTATTCTGAAAGCAGAGTCCTCCACTCTGTCCCATGTTGGTATTTGCCTTTCTGTCCCTTTTCTTAGAGCACGATGCTTTCATGAGTATCTGTTTTACAGGGAACCTCGAGTGGCTGGATAAGAATAAATCTAGCTTCCTGATCATGTGGCGGAGGCCAGAAGAATGGGGGAAACTCATTTATCAATGGGTGAGGCCACCCTGCTAAGCACTAAGCAGTGACCCATGGCAGAGAAGAATTGCTGCCTGTGCCCAGCCGATAGCTGGTGTTTTTTAGATCCAAACTTGGCAGAGTGGGGAGTGGGCAAAAAACGGAAGCACGGGCCTTCCTGGCAAACGTCCTTTAGTGACTCAATGTCTCTCCCGCACAGAATCTCCCTTTCTTTGCCTGTAGGAGGCCAGAGGCTACGTGAGGCCATGTTTGGAGAATGTAGTACTGGGAACCATAAGTGCTATTGTTGGCTGGAGCCTCTGGCCACAGGAGATAAATGGGGAAAGGAAGGGAGGAAAAAAAAAACCTGGGTTCCCTCTCCCACTGTGCCTTCATGGTGTTGTTCACATGAATGAGACCTTCTGAACCAGTGTGGGTAGGAGGACAGAGTCTTCTGTCCCTCAAATTCCTAGTCACCACCAGCCCCAAACATTCCCAAGAGAGAAGGAGGGGGGAAAACATCAACAACCTAAATATAACAAATACACACCACCCATTCCTGAACAGAAAACAACCAGGATGAGAGGTCACTTTTGAGACACGTGAATGGCTGCGGCTTAGTGGTTCCAAATGTGTGTACCCACAGACAAATATAGCACCTGTAGGTTTATGGGGTGAGGACAGTGCAGAGGTGACGGTCCTGATCTGGGAGTAGGTACCATTCCTGGGGAAAGGCAGGGCTGAAGTTTACCTTTTCCCAGGAGATCCTTGGCCCTTACTTAGCCCTCATCTCTTGTGCCCTCAGGTTTCCAGGAGCGGCCAGAACAACTCTGTGTTTACCCTGTATGAACTGACCAGTGGGGAAGACACAGAGGAGGAAGGTAATGCCTTTTTCTCCTCCCAGTTCTCTAACAGAACCCTCTCCTCTCCGGGATTGGTTTAGTATGTCTTAAGACTAACCATTTCTCCGTCTCTGGATTCCATAGTGCAAAGTTCTGAGGTTTAGGGGGGTTTTTTGTTTTGTTTCTGTTTTAAGACTTATTTTTAGCTGGGCTGTGGTGTGCACACCTTTAATCCCAGCACTTGGGAGGCAGAAGCAGGCAGATATCTCTGAGTTTGAGTCCAGCCTGGTCTAAAGAGCAAGTTCCAAGACAGACAGGGCTATAAAGAGAAACCTTGTCTCAAATCAACAACAACAAAAAGATTATTTTTCTGTTATGTCCATGAGTGTCTGCCTGAATGTATATATATGCACCACATACATGCCTAGTGCCCATGGGGGCCAGAAGGGGTCATTGGATGGACCCCTTAGAACTGTTGGGAGCTGTTTGTTGTGTAGGTGCTGGGATCCAAACCCATTCCCTCCATAGAGCAGCAAGGATTCTTAACCACAGAGCCACTTCTCCAGCAAAGTTCAGAACGTCTTAACTCTCATCTAAACACCCCATACCACTTGAATTCACAAACAAACAAAACCACTCTTTTTGTTGGTGTGGATGTTTGTGTGTTTTCAAAAGATTTTTCAGGAGTATGTTAAGAATTGTTGCCGTGGAAGCCAGTTGAGGAACCAGCGTGGGGGATTAAACTTGGAATCCATTCCTTGCTGACTCAAGCTCTCTCTTTCACCCTTTCTTCTTATAGAAGGCTCAAGATTTGTAGGTGTCAGCTGAAGGGATTGGGCCAACACCCCCAGCCCCGCCCCCCTGCCCATTTAAACACTTTGGGTTTGTGCCAGGCAAGGATTTGTATGGCCTTTGATTTTTGCATAGGGTAAACACTTCTTAGCTCTTTTTCCCCCCCCTGTGACTCTTCATTCTGATCCCCAGGATCACCAAAAGTTTCAGTCTTTGCCAGCGTAAGGGGAGTGGGGGTTCTGCCAGGCTGTGACTGCTCCAGCAGACTTTACGCCACTTGGCTGTCTCCCCCTGCCCTACAGGCCTCTGCTTGCTGTTCCCACCATCACCCCATGAATTCAGCACTGCAGCCTGGCCCAGCCCACCACTCAGCCTGTACAAAGCTGGAGGCTTCCCCAGAATGCTCACTCCTTGACTTGAGCTGGGCTCCCTCAGGGGGTGAGGTTAGCAAGCCTGTTAGGACTTGTCTGCTGCCTCTCACGTCTTTCTACAGTATCTTCCCATTATCTCTGGATAATCCACTGGCCCTTGGCTCCCTTTCAACTAGGAAAGGGCAGATACTGGCTACAAAATTTAGCAGTCTCTTGGCTAGCGGGTGCTGCGTATACTTCATGTATTAAGGCAGAGCCTCCTGGTTTACACAGATGTTTGGATGGGGTCACTGTCAGTGCATGGGCCCTGGCCTGGGTCAGATTATCAGGGTGATTTTGTGGTCCTAAAGGCAAAAGGTGTCTGTGGTATGTTAGCTTTTTGGTAACAGCACAGAGAAAGAGGGCTCTGGGGGTAGAACTGAGAAGGGTGAAATAAGCCTGCTTCATTTCATGCTGACCCAGGCTCCCTTCCACTCTCAACTCCCAAGGAATGCCCAGGAAGTGTGAGTGACAGCTGTAGCAGTACAGATAGTTTACAAATAGAATATCCTGCCTTTGGGAGTTCTGAGCTTCTCGCTCAACCACCGAAAGAACTGAGTGTCCTGACTGACCGTCTCTTCCTATCTAGAGTTCCACGGGCTGGATGAGGCGACCCTACTTCGTGCCCTACAGGCCCTACAGCAGGAGCACAAGGCTGAGATCATCACCGTCAGTGACGGCCGAGGAGTCAAGTTCTTCTAGCAGAGACCTGTCTCCCTCTGTTTCTTACCTCCCACCTTCCCAGGGCTTTCAAAGGAGACAGACCAAATGTCCCACAGACTGGACCCGTCACTCCACCCGACTCAAGGGCTCAAGTCCTGAAAGCGCAGACTGAGGGATCTTCCCCGCTTAGTCCATCTGTCTGTCCCCGGGACAGAGTCAGCCCACGGTGCCAGGGAAAAGGGTGTTTCTTGCCCTCCCTCCTTTCCCATCCTAGACTGTCCCTGGGACAGGGTCTATAAACCTGACACTTTACATGTGTTCTCACACATAAGTACACACCCATATGCGCCTGCACACGCTTCTTTCTCCTCCCCCCTCCCACTCCTTAGCTGCTGTGGCCTCCCTTCTCAGGCTGGTGCTGGATCTTCCTAGGGGTGCCCTGGCTGCAGGCAGCCTTCCAGGCAATACAGAGATAGGAAGCCCCAGAGGGGGCTTGGCGGTGAAAGGCAGGCCCACTCTGATTTATGATATTAAAATCTCTACCCCCACTGTCTGCCTGTTACTACTGCTGGAATAGGACTGTGGAAGGCGGGGCAGTGTTCCACCTGATGGAGTCCCAGCCAAGGAAAGAGGAGAAGGATCCTTTGGCCTTTGTACAAGAGAAGGGCCTCTGGGCCTGGGGTCTCCAGTGAGCCTGTAGTTTTCCATGTGCTGGGTGGGTTGTGTGGAGGAGTGGTGTTGGAACACAGCTTGGGGACAGACTGCTGCTTGCTCTCTAAATTGGAGTCACTTAATTGCTCCCCCATGGAAGTCCTGAACTATTCTGAAGCCCCTCCCTCCACCCATCTGGTCTGGGTGGGGTAGTTGTGGCCAAGGGGAGCTGGGGGGGGGGGGGTAAACCGGATGTGGACTTTGGTTTATTGAAGACTTTGGCAAACAGAAGGGGAGGAAGGAGAGCTCACAGCAAAAACAGGCGTTCTGGCCAGGGCCAGACTCAGGCCAAGGTGGGGTGGAGCTGATGGGTGACCAGTTCTTGGTTGGGGGTTGGGGGGGGGGTTGTCCCGGAGTACACACACCCATCTTTGTGCAGACCTGGGGTCTAGCTGAGTCAGGAAAACCTTACCTTTCCAACACAGGCCTAGGGCTACTCCTGATTAGGACCGGGCACTGCTGCCTTATCGGGTTGTGCAGACTGGTGGTGCCTCTCCCCAGCCACCCTCCTCCCCACTGAGGCATGGGATCCACGGTCACTTTTCATCTCCTGTTCAGTGTCCTCCAACTCCCCCACCCCAAACATGTTTGCGCTCTCCTTGTGTGGGAGCACACCCGCCGCTGCCTCCCACTCACTCAGCTCTGGAAGGGAAGAAGGCTTGAAGGCGGGGACTCTGGAGAGCAGGGCACGCGGCTGGGGGCTCAGCGGCGGGCTGCAGAGGTGAGGGCAGCACCCCAGCTCCACACGGTGCAACGCGCCAGACTCACAAGGGGGTGGCCCTGGGGGGGTGAGAACCGATCTCGGTCGGAGGCGGGTCGTGGGGCGGAGCTGGGGGCGGGTCGCCAGGACGGCCAGCCGGGGGCTGGGGCCCCAACCGCTCAGCCGGAGCGCTGTGCACTCAGCTGGTCCGCCTGTCAGGCCGTCGCCGCCAGTCGCCTGGCTTTCCGCCCTGCGGCGCCCGGCCCTTCCCCATGCTAACACCTCGAACTACGGACACCGGGGTCCCCATGTCCCAAACCGAGGCTGACCTGGCTCTGCGGCCACCGCCGTCTCTCACCTCCTCCGGGCCGATCCGCTTGGGGCCACCTCCTCGCCGAGTGCGCCGCTTCTCTGGGAAGGCTGAACCCCGGCCTCGCTCTTCGCGACCCAGCCGCCGCAGCTCAGTCGATTTGGGACTGCTGAGCTCCTGGTCTCAACCAGCCTCACTCCTTCTGGAACCCCCGGATCCTCCGGACTCCGCTCGACCCACGAGGAGCCCACCTCCTAGCTCCAAAGAAACCCCCGAGGGCACATGGACCGGGGCAGCCCCGGTGAAGGCTGCAGACTCGGCAAGTCCTGAGCTTACGGGACCTTCAGGAGGTCCCGGGTCCCGGGAGCCTCCGAGGCTTCTTGATGCTGCAGCCCGGGAGCGGCGGCGGGAGCAGGAAGAGAAAGAGGACACAGAGACCCAGGCTGTGGCAACATCTCCGGACGGCCGATACCTCAAGTTTGACATTGAAATTGGAAGAGGCTCCTTCAAGACCGTGTATCGAGGGCTAGACACCGACACCACGGTCGAGGTGGCCTGGTGTGAGCTGCAGGTGTGGCTGGGCGCCCCCTCTGTAGTACCTCGGGATGGGGGCCCTTTAGAGGTCGTAGGTTGGGGAAACGGGAGGACAACATCAGGAAAGGATCGTTTTGTTTTGTTTTTTTTTTTCTTGTCAAGATATCTAGGCACCCTTGCTCCCCTTGCTGGTATGATCTCACTGACTCTGGGTGGGTTCAGGAGAAACTGAGGCAGGTGGTATATGGTGCCTCCCGATGAGCCAAGGCGCATAGGCAGCTTCACTTTCAAGCCTCCATACGAATCTGAGGCTTGGGAAACTGAGTGGGTAGAGGGGCAGCCCCTCCGGTCTCCTGCCCTGGGCACCGCTGCCTCTTACTCTTTTTCCTCTAAGACCTGAGACTTTCTGCTGTGACCCTTGTCCTCTTGCTCGTCCTCCTTCCTCTTCACCAACTTAGAGACTGGGATGTGGGAGGCCGGGAGCCGAGGCCCAAGGTCCTCTCCACCTCCAAAAAGATTCAGGGTAGTTGTGACAGAAGGGGGCTCCCTGAGCCCCTTCTTAAGCAGTCAGCCTTGCAAAACTTCTCAACAGTTTCAAGGAGCAGGGACAGTTAGCTTGAGTTCAAGCTGGAATCCAGGCCAGCTTCTCACCCCTCTACATACCTGGGGTCTCCCTTTCCATTGCCAAAGGAGCTGAGCTCTTGCAAGTTTTGGACTTTCTTCCTCCGGTTGCTTGCTCCACTCTAAGTGTGAATGGCCCTGGAAATTTAAGATTCAGATTAGGGGACAAAACCAGGAGGAAGGGTCCTTCCACTTGGGCCCTGGCACAGGACTCTCCCCTAGTGCCTGCTAGTGCCGCGCCCCAGGCTCTAAGCCAGGCCAGGAGAATCAGCCAGACTCAGGGGAGGGGGAGGGAGAGGGAAAAAGGAGGCATGAGGCAGCCCCAGCCATGGGGGGCGGTCTCCTGGCCCTGATCCTGGATCTTCTCTTTCTTGGTACCCTCCTCTACCTCTGTCTAGAGGCTGCAGTTCCTAGTTTTTGAGGCCAACCTCTTGCCGGCCCCAATTCCCGGCCCGTGGTCCGCCTGCTGCCTGCCGGCTGCCAGCCCCGGGGCACAGCCCGCCCCCACCCAACTTCCACGGTCGGCTCTGGAGGCCACAAAGGCGCTATTGAGCGCACGGCTCCCAGACCTGGCGGCATAAAGACGCATGTGTCCAGCGAGGGGTCCAGAGTGCTGCCCCAGGCCCAGGATGGGTGTGTTCTTGGAGCAATAAGACGTTGGGGGTCTGCAGCCCTTCTGGCTAGCGATCTCACCCACCATACCCTGGCCATATGCTCCTGCCCTCCCCCCCCCCCCCCCGCCCCAGCTGTACCCCAAATGTCCCATACTCTCCTTCCTGGGGGTCTGGGTCTGATGTGACCCCCATGGTCCCATCCCACAGACTCGGAAACTGTCTCGAGCTGAACGGCAGCGATTCTCCGAGGAGGTTGAGATGCTCAAGGGGCTGCAGCACCCCAACATCGTCCGCTTCTACGACTCGTGGAAGTCGGTGCTGAGGGGCCAGGTTTGCATCGTGCTGGTCACTGAACTCATGACCTCGGGCACGCTCAAGACGTGAGCTCTGGCCTGGGTGGGAGGGGGAGGATGGGACGTCACTGTCACTCTGAGGCCCGGGGAACTTCTCCCAACCACTTCAAACTTCTACAGCTAAAAACCAGTCTATCTCCCACCTACCCGACCTGTATGAATGACACTGTCCTCCCAGTACACCAGCCAAAACTTCCCGTGTTTTTGTAGTGGCCCCACTCTCAACAGTGGGGTCTCTTAGGTCTGTTTAACCTCTTCCCACTGGGTTTCCACGGCTCATCTTTGCCCCAACCTTGCTGCTACACTCTGGTGCTCTTCCCCCACCCCCACAACAGCAGCCTTCCTAAAGGGCCTTTCCCAATCTGCCCACCCCTCAAGTTATCCCATCTTCCTGCAACCTAGAGGAAATCTGACCCTTTGACTCCCTCCCTAAACCTCTTCAAGATTTCCCACTGCCCCGGGGTAAAGTCCCTAAACTACACTCTCCCTTCTAGCTTAAGTTACAGACAAATCCAGTTCTCAGTGACTCCTCCCACCCTGCTCTGTCACTCCTGAGGCCCTTCAGCCTGGAAAATCTCCATCCCGTCCCGTTTTCACCCTTGAACTTATACTCCTCCTTCAAGACAAAAGTTATTTCCTCAGTGAGGTCCTCCCCCACGCTTGGGACCGTTAGTCATCCCTCCCAGCGCTCCCACAGCACCCTCTTTGGCGGCGGCCCTATCTATGAGTTTACCGTCAGAATCATTTTGTAACCTATTTACTGTCCTCATTGACTCCGTTTCTGTTTGGCCCAGACAGAACTAAGTTAAGAGAATGCTGGCAGGGGACGCAGAGATGGTGGTAAGGGTGGGATGAGAGGGAATTTCCCAGTCCAGGAGTAGATATCCCCACCATGGTTATGCGCCCTCTCCCAGGTACCTGAGGCGGTTCCGCGAAATGAAGCCCCGAGTCCTTCAGCGCTGGAGCCGCCAAATCTTGCGGGGACTTCATTTCCTACATTCCCGAGTGCCCCCCATCCTGCACCGAGATCTCAAGTGTGACAACGTCTTCATTACCGGCCCTTCGGGCTCTGTCAAAATCGGAGATCTCGGACTGGCCACACTCAAGCGCGCCTCCTTTGCCAAGAGCGTCATCGGTGCGTCTGTCCAGCAGAGCTCTTGCCATTGCTAGCTCCCTGTCCAGCAGGGCCTTTGCCATTGCTAGCTCCCTGTCCAGCAGGGCCCTTGCCATTGCTAGCTCCCTGCGTCAGAAAAGAGCAGGGGACCCCCTCGGCTCCAACTCCAATAGGGCTTTGGAGAGCTACCGAGCTAGACGGACCCCATTCTTCCTGCCCCCAACACACACTTTGGGCAAGAGTTGGTCACCAGAACTCCTGGGGTTGCCCTTGAGCTACTTAGCCCATGATACCCGAGTGGAGGGAGGAGACCAAGAGGAAGAAGCCTGATCCTTTCTGTGGGTCCAATAGGGACCCCGGAGTTCATGGCCCCCGAGATGTATGAGGAAAAGTACGATGAGGCGGTGGACGTGTACGCCTTTGGCATGTGCATGCTGGAGATGGCTACATCTGAGTATCCCTACTCTGAGTGTCAGAACGCAGCACAAATCTACCGCAAAGTCACTTCGGTGAGAAGGGTGGGGTTCGGGGAAGAAGGGACCCCCAGAGGCCCTCCCACTCTCCTACCCTCTAACTAGCCTGCGTATAGCCCTTACCCTTTATCTTAATAAAAACAGGCCAGACAGAAAGATGCCCCAGTGAAGCGCAAATATAGTGTATGCACATAACCTTCACACAAGCTAGTAAAAATAGGTGTTTTCCTAAGAGTTTACAGACAACTTCACATCTCAGTAGATCTTTCTAGTAGCCCCACCAGGTGAGCCAGGCAAATGTTCTGCTCCGCGCTTTACAAATGAGACAACAACCAGCTGGGCAGTCTTGGGCAAGGCCACACCAACAATATACGGAGGGAATGGGATTTGAAATGGAGTCTTTCAGTACCAGCACCCTCCCCTCTCCCCTCACCCGAGCCTTGGAGACTGCCTGCATTGCAGACTTGCTGAGATTTGGCAACCCGAGGCCTCATGTAACTCTTCTTCCAGGGCACAAAGCCCAACAGCTTCTACAAGGTGAAGATGCCGGAGGTGAAGGAGATAATTGAAGGCTGCATCCGCACGGATAAGAATGAGAGGTGGGGTCCCGGGGTCCCGGGGCAGAGAGGGCACGGAGACGAAGCTCGGGTGGCAGCGGGCTCGGCTCACTTCCCCACGGTCCCCAGGTTCACCATTCAGGATCTCCTGGCCCACGCGTTCTTCCGCGAGGAACGAGGTGTGCACGTGGAACTGGCCGAAGAGGATGACGGCGAGAAGCCGGGCCTCAAGCTCTGGCTGCGCATGGAGGACGCGCGGCGCGGGGGGCGCCCACGGGACAACCAGGCCATCGAGTTCTTGTTCCAGCTCGGCCGGGACGCTGCTGAGGAGGTGGCTCAGGAGATGGTGAGGAGATGATAGATCCTGCTTTGGTTGAGCCCTGTGAAGGGCTCAGTCAACCAGCCATCAGTCAATCCGAGGGCCAGGGCGGGGCACTAGGAGAGGAGGTCCCCACCCAGAGCCGCATCTCCTTCAGGGGGTCTTCCTGCGGCTCTCGCCCTAATTCACCTGCACACACTAGGGTTTTTTCCCAGAACAAACCCTGGGTCCTCTAATCTCGCTTCGTTACTTCTTGCAGATTTATTTATCACAGAATGCCCTTCTTGGCAATTTATCTATTTATTTCCCCTCTCCACCTTCTTCGTCTCTTCCCCCCTCTATGCTTAGCAATTTCAGGAAGGTCCCTCCTGTGGAGTTAAAAGTTGAATGCTTCTTTCCAAATCAGTGTGGCCTCTCCACAGCCTCAAACCGTGGGCTTTGTTTTGTACCTGGATGCATTTCCCTCTCTTCTGCTAGACTAGGAACCATCCGTGACCAGACAATACTTTATTGATCTTTTCTCCAATCCTTTACTGTCGGGCAGGTGGGAGGTATTCCTTAACATCACACGTGGCTTAAAGAAACCGTTTTCACGTGAGCCTGTTTGGAAGGCAATTTTATCCCAGCTTATCGATGAAGGAATGCAAGCGCAGAGAGATTGACTGTCTTGTCGGGAGTCCCAAGTAAACAAATGACAAAGCGGGATTTAATCTCAAGTCGTTCAGATTTGGTCAGGTGGCCCGGCCACACTTTTCCTCACCCAGCAAAGCTCACAGCTAAACTGAATGAAAAGGGGAGAGAGGGTGATGAGCAGACACTGGTGGAGGAGAAAGCGGGTGTGGGGATAGACATGCCAGGGTAGAACCTTGAAAGCTTGTTGAGGAGAGCCTGAATAGGTGAAGGGTTGGCAACATGGGATTCTCAATAGAGAAATGGCACTTGCAAGGTCAAGGGTCACCTGTGATGACGGGGTCAAGAACCTGCAACTGTCCTGACTTAGTGGGCACCTCATTAACCCCAGCACTCAGAAGTGAGTCCAGCCTGGCTTACATTGTGAGCTCCAGGCCAGCCAGGGATGCACAGTGAAACCCTATCAATGGTAATAATAATTAATAATAATAACTTGAGACTGAAATGTGACAGAAATGCAATTGCCAGAGCACCATCCAGCTTGACTCTAGATTAAGTCTTTTTAAAAAGTTACATCTTTGAGCCGGGCGGTGGTGGCGCACGCCTTTAATCCCAGCACTCGGGAGGCAGAGCCAGGCGGATCTCTGTGAGTTCGAGGCCAGCCTGGTCTCCAAAGCGAGTTCCAGGAGAGGCGCAAAGCTACACAGAGAAACCCTGTCTCGAAAAACCAAAAAAAAAAAAAAAAAAAAAAAAAAAGTTACATCTTTGGCGCACGCCTTTAATCCCAGCACTCGGGAGGCAGAGCCAGGCAGATCTCTGTGAGTTCGAGGCCAGCCTGGTCTACAAAGTGAGTTCTAGGAAAGGCGCGAAACTACAGAGAAACCCTGTCTCGAAAAACCAAAAGAAAAAAAAAAAGTTACATCTTGTTTATTTTGTGTGTGACTATGGGTATGGGGTATGTATGTGGGTGCACACGGACCACAGCGTGTAAGTAGAGGTCAGAGGTCAAGTTGTAGAAGTCAGTTCTCTCCTTCTATCATGTGGGCCCTGAGATCAAACTCACTTAGGCTCTCAGGCTTGGCAGTGGGCACCTTTATACACAGGGCCATCTTGCCTGTTCTTTTTTTTTTTTTCCAAACAAAGATTCTCCATGTAGTTTTGGTGCCTGTCCTGGATCTCGCTCTGTAGATCCAGGCTAGCCTCAAACTCACGAGATCCACCTGGCTCTGCCTTCCAAGTGCTGGGATTAAAGGTGTGTACCACCACCGGGCCCCGGCTTTGCCTGTCCTCAAGATCAAGTCTTGGTCTATTACCTACAAGGGATTTGTGTGTGTGTGTGTGTGTGTGTGTGTGTGTGTGTGTGTGTGTGTGTGTGTGTGTTGTGTGTACTTTTCTGTGTGGGTATGTGCATGTATGCATGTGTATGCTTTGACACAGGTGCTGGTGGTTGGAATTCAGGTCTTCATGGTTGCACTACCATGTCCAAAACAACAACAGCAAAATTTGTTTCACAATGTTATTGAGAAGTCTTAATAATGATGAGTTTTCAGGTAACAGATATGGTGATTAATCAATAAATAGCTCCTTCCTCCTTCCTAGAAGCCTCAAAAAGTTGTTCTAATTGATTCCCCCTCCCTCCTCTCTCTCTGAATGTACAGATGTGGATGTGCATAAGTGTGAAGGCAATTTAAAGGTGTCCTGATTGGATCCATCTTCTATCTTTGTCTGTCTGTTTCTCTGCATGTACATACATGTGGAAGTCAGAATTTAACTTTGGGTGTCATGCCTCAGGAACCAGCAACCTTGTTTTTTGAGACAGGGTCTCTTACTGGGACCTGGGGCCTGCTAATCAGGCTAGACTGGGTGCCCAGCAAGCTCCAGGGCTCTGCTTCCCCAGCTCCGGGATTACAAGCATGCATGCCTGACTCTATGTGAGCACTGGGGGTCAGAGCAGGCATTTTACTAACTTAGGTAGCTCCCCAATCTCTGGTGGGTCTTTGGGGGAATCTGAAACTGTCTCCCTTCCTATCCTGATTCCAGGTAGCCTTGGGCTTAGTCTGTGAAGCCGACTACCAGCCAGTGGCCCGTGCAGTTCGGGAAAGGGTTGCTGCCATCCAGCGGAAGCGGGAGAAGCTTCGAAAAGCTAGGGAGTTGAAGGTTCTCCCACCGGAGTCAGGACCTCCTCCAGCAACTGCGTCCATAGCTCCTGGTCCCCCCAGTGCCTTTCCCCCAGAGCCTGAGGAGCCAGAGGCTGACCAGCACCAATCCTTCCTCTTCCGCCATGCAAGCTACTCATCTACCACCTGTAAGTTACCCCGACTTAGAGTTCTAGGTCCCAGAAGTCCAGCCCAGAAGTGCTGTCACTTACCCAACCTTCCAACTCTAGCTGTAAACCTTCCTTGGGGTCAAACACTCCCACAATTCCCTCCTGGCTCCAGGCCCCTCTTTGCACAGACAGGTCCCCTCCTCTACCACGACAGTCATTATTATTATTATTATTATTATTATTATTATTATTATTATTATTGACCCCCTCCCTCCCCTACCAGCTGATTGCGAGACTGATGGCTACCTCAGCTCCTCCGGCTTCCTGGATGCCTCAGACTCCGCCCTTCAACCCCCCGGGGGGGTGCCATCCAGCCCCGCTGAGTCCCATCTCTGCTTGCCCTCGGTGAGAGGGGGTCCCTCGGGAACCTTCCAGTCATTCAAAGCCCATGGCCTATCCCTTTCTCTTGAATCCCAACCCCCTAACCTGTTCCCTTGTTCCCGAAACACACCATTCTTGTCCTTATCTTCTCCAATTCGATTTCCCTAGCGTTCTCCCCACATCCCTGACCCCATTTCCCTGGGTCACCACAATTATCATCAACGGTTATCATCTCCTGATCTCATGAATCGTGTCCCTCTTTCAGGGTTTCGCCTTGTCCATTCCACGGTCTGGTCCCGGCAGTGACTTTTCTCCTGGGGACAGGTATGTTCCGGTTTAAGTTGGGGTACCAGGATGAGACACAGGAAGTTCTGGGTTCCCGCTGTTCATGTAAATGCTTCCATCTCCTTTCCCCTGTCCAGCTATGCCTCAGATGCAGCATCGGGCCTCAGTGACATAGGAGAGGGGGGACAAATGAGGAAAACTCCAGTGAAGAATCTTCGTCGGAGACCCCGATCCCGGCTTCGGGTCACTAGTGTAAGGAGAGCATAGGAGCTGGAGAATAACCTCCCGGACCAGGAGGGAAGCGCCCTGGAGATGGGGGAGGTGGGCCAGAAAAGTGGAGTTGCAGTGTATGGTTGGTACCCATGAGGCATCTAGTCTCGTTTCCATGCCAGACTCTGGGGGTAGAATCTGTTCTCGGTGTCCACTCTGGTCCATGTGCTTTGGCTGGCTAGGGTGGAAACACATGATTAAGGCAGAAGCATTGATCTGTTCCCTTCTGCTGACTTTGAATCTGAAGGTCTCAGACCAGAATGACAGAGTTGTGGAGTGCCAGCTACAGACCCACAACAGCAAGATGGTGACCTTCCGATTTGATCTGGACGGGGACAGCCCAGAAGAGATCGCAGCTGCCATGGTAAGCGGGAGAGAGAGGACAGATGTGGATATAAGCATTTCCCTCCCGGTATCCACTGGTGCTGACACACCCCGGCCCCACAGCAAGGGTTGGCAGAGCGACACCAAAGATGCTTCAGCCTTGGGGGGGGGGGGGCATTTCTGTTTATCCAAAGGTTTTACACTTTGAGATCAGTAAGGACTGGGTAGACAGGAGTGATGTGTGTGTGTGTGTGTGTGTGTGTGTGTGTGTGTGTGTGTGTGTGTACCACACTGTGGCTGGAAGTAAAGGGTGGACTGGAGCAGCACAGGAAGAAGTGGGATTTACCCAAGCCCTGGCAAAGGAGTGGGAAGGGCAGGGAAGGGTGGAAAGGGCATGCCCAGCTGGAGGCCCAGCATGAGCAGCAAACAGCACTAGTTCTGAGTGTTGGGAGGACTTAACGAGGAAACTGTCCCAGGAGAAAAGGGATCCTACAGGAAAATCCTGGAAAGTAGAATTCGGCACAGATCCTAAGTGCACACGAAAGGCCAGCTCTGGCAGTGCATGTAATCTGAGCAGTTAGGAAGTGGAGACAGGAAGGTCAGGAGGGGTTCAGGGTCCTCCTTGGCTGCACAGCAGTTCAAGGACAACCCAGGCTACATGAGACCTTATAAAGCAAACAAAGTTAGGAAGAGAGAAACATGATGAGAACAGTTTTTTTTTGTTGTTGTTTGAGGATTTATTTATTTATGTATATGAGTGCTCTATTTGCATATATGTCTGCATGACAGAAGAGGACACCAGATCTCATTATAGATGATTGTGAGCCATCATGTGGGTGCTGGGAATTGAACTCAGGACCTCTGGAAGAGTAGCCAGTGCTCTTAACCTCTGAGCCATCTCTCCAGCCCTGAGAATGGGTTTTAAGTAGACCATTCTGCTGTGGGATGTGGGAGGGTTTTTAGAGTAAGGATCTGGTTGGGGGTGGGGAGGGGGGTGGACACAAGAAGCCTAACAGGAATGAAGGGGAAATGGACTATAGAGGAGAAGAAAGGGTGGATTTAAGGGTTGCTTCAGGAAAACTGCTGCGTAATCCAGTAAGTTCTTGACGTAGCACAGTGTGGGTAGTGGATGCCCAATAAATATTTGCAGAGTTGATATGCTAGGGAGTCAGGAAGAAGGGACATCAAGGGCAACCCATATCAGAGGAACAAAGAGGAGCAGACTACTGAAGGAGAGAAGTTGGGAATGAAAGCAGGGTTCTTAAGGGTCATGATGAGCTTGAGCAACAGCTGAATCCAGGTCCTCCATGGCAACAGGATATGGCCAGGCAGAGCTGGAGAGAGATGGGTTTAGGAGTCCTCAGCCCAGAACTGATGGGTGGAAATAGACCTGCAAGGTGAGAGAAGCTTCGAGACTGTGTGTCTTGAAAACATCCTGTTCTAGAATGAGAAGTGGGGAGACAAGTTACTGAAGGGCGGCAAGTTGGGGCCAAAGAAGTAGAAAGACATTAGTTAGTGAAAACGTTTCAAGCAGGTGGCATGGGGAGGACGGGGACTCCTGAGGAAGACCACACGGGCTTTTGTGAGAAGTCTCAGTGGGAGACAGTTTCAGCAGAGTGGGGTTGAGATGGTGGAGAAAACATCTGGCTTCGGGAATTCTTCACAAAGCACCTCCTCCTGGATGCCATTCACCTAGTCTCCAGATCAAAGAAAAGTGTCACCTGACACCTAAGGCTTGTTATCTTCTGCCAAGTCACGTGACCCTTCTCTGGGTCTACCAGGCTCGAGTCTTTTTCAAGCCACACAGGTTTCTGAACAGTTCCTGGAAGAGGCTGGGTGCCTTCCTGCCTCTGCTTCTACCTACTCAGGGGTCTGTAGGTGTGAAAACCTTTCCCCATGGTTTCTATGCTCACTCAGAACCCACACAATCCAAGTGACCTACCCCGGATCCGGGCTCTTTTCCCTCCTCACTAGTTAACTCCTCTGCAGCAGAGTTTGAGACTTGGACCTAATCTTTCTGTTTTTCATCATCGTCGTCGGCTCTTTGTGATTCTAAAATCAGGAAGCATGGCCTTTATAACCATTGTCCATCCAACTGCATCAGGGTCCTGTCTTCAGAAGGGGTTGTGTCTTTCATGCCTCAAGGCCGTCTCTTGGCCTCAGCTGTTATCCTTTCTCCTCTGATGAGCAGGGGGCAACAGAAGAATGACCAGCCCAGCGGTGGTTCTTAACCTTCCTAACGCTGCGACCCTTTAACACAGTTCCTCGGGTTGTGGTGACCCCCAACCATAAAATTATTTCATCCCTACTTCATAACTGTAATTTTGCTACTGTTATGAAACCTAATGTAAAAATTATCTGATACGTGACCCCAGAGGGGTCGAGACCCACAGGTTGAGAACTGCCTCGTCACTAGGCTTTTATGTAACCCGAGTTCAGTTTCATGTGTTGAAATTTGGTGAACTTGGCCAGGTTTCTCTTCTAATCCCTCCTCTTCCCTTCCTTCTTTTCTTGTGGTGCTGGAGATCAAATCCAGGGGCTTGGGGCAAGTGTTGCATCACTGAGCTACCCCCTGGCTTCTGTGGCAGGTTTCTCCAGCTCTGAACCTCAACTGTTCACCCATTACTATTTGTTTGTCAAAGATGTGATCTGATATGGTGAGGCATGGAGGTGCCTCAGTGAAGGGTTGCTTTTCTTACCTCACATTTATAAGGTTCAGCATCAAATACTTTCTGTGTGACAGCATCCCAGAGGTGTATGACCTGTTCCTTCATTGGAATAGCATTGGCGGGGATGATCAATTACAGATTTTTTTTATTACATTTACTTATTTGTATGTGGAGGTTAGAAGACAACCCGTGAGAGTCATTTTTTTCCTGTATGATCATGTGACTGCGCTCATATAGTCAAACCTGATGACAAGCATCTTTATCCATCTCGATATCCTATTAGATTATTAGCACTTTTAAAATTTTGGTGGTGGTGGTAGTTTTGGTAATTTTGACACAGGGTCACACTGTGTAGTTCTGGCTGTCCTGGAATTCACTTTGTAGACCAGGCTGGCTTCAAACTCACAGAGATCAGCTTGACTCTGCCTCCTGAGTGCTAGGATTAAAGGCATGTGCCACCATGCCTGACTAAATTGTGTTTTAAAAAAGAAAAAAATCCAAACACATTGTAAGTGGAGCATAGTGGCATATTCTTGTAATGCCAGCCCTCAGGAAGCTGAGGTGGGAGGATTGCCACAAGTTTGAAGCCTCTCTGGACAACATAGTAAGACGCCCCATCTCCAAACAACAACAAAATGCCAAACCAACTAACCAAATACAAGACAAAACAACAACATAAAATTTACCACTATAACCAATAGAAGCATGTGTTCAATAGTACAGTATCTACATTGTTGTGAACCAGATCTCCAGACCTTGCAAAGTCTGAAATGCTTGCTAAAGAAGATCCTCCTGCTGGGCATGGTGGCACATGCCTTTAATCCCAGCACTCAGGAGGCAGAGGCAGCAGGATCTCTGTAAGTTCCATGCCAGCCCGGTCTACTGAGCAAGTTCCAAGACAGCCAGAGCTGTTACACAGAGAAACCTTGTCTTAAAAAAAAAAAAAAAAAAAAAAAAAAAAAAAAAAAAAAAAAAAAAAAAAAATCCTAAGATCCTCCCACCTCCAGAAAAAATTTTTTTTTTACCCATCCTCACTATTAGCAAGGCCCTGAAGTGCTCTTCCCATCCCAGGACAACTTGCAGAGTGCTGTGTATTGATGTGGGGTGGAAGACTAAGATGTTGTTTCATACTTCCCCGTATTCAACAGTATCTCCCACAATGCACGGTAGACAGCAGGTACTCAATGTTTGTGGAGTGGCAAGTGACATTTACCGTTGATGCCCTGTTTTGCTTAGCTTTGCCAAGTGTGACTGGGACCCCATGAATTTTATATGAGTGCAGAAGTATGTAACTGTGAAAAGAACTCAGGCTCTGGCTTTCAGTGGACCTGGGTCAAATTGTGGCTTTGGCCAACTGAACTTTTAAAAAGTATTTTAAAAAAATATTTATGTGCATTGGTGTTTTGCCTGCATGTATGTGTGAGAGTGTCGGATCCTCTGGAACTGGAGTTACAGGTGCTAGGAATTGAACCCAGGTCCTCTGGAAGAGCAGCTAGTGCTCTTAACCACTGAGCCATCGCTCCAGGCCCAGGCCAGGTAAACTTAACCTGTGCATCAGCTATCTTCACAGCAAAGGGAGAATATTAATGGGCCAGAGCAGGTTGTCGGTGCTAAATGTGACGATACGTGAAAGCTTTGGTGCATACAGCACACACATCCTAGGCATGTTAGCTCCTAGCTACATTTCTCCTCGACCACAAGTGTCTGGCACACAACACATCCTTAGCTAATGATGCAGTGGTGCCAACAGTTGGGTTGAAACATCAGGTGCAGGGCGGTAACAGTGAGATAACAGCCTCCTCCCATCCCATAATCCCTGCCAGGTGTATAATGAGTTCATTCTGCCCTCGGAGCGAGATGGATTCCTGAGCAGGATCCGGGAGATTATCCAGCGAGTGGAGAGCCTGCTGAAGAGAGATTCTGGTCCCCCAGAGGCTGCTGAAGACGCCCTGAGCCCTCAGGTCAGCCCTCGAGACATCCCCAGCAGGAACAGACTGCCCTGAGCAGAGTGTGGATGAAGGTCTCTTGATCTTGAGAACCTTACAGCTGACTCTCAACTCTATTTCAGAGTATGATGAAAGCTACAACAGACTCTTGTTCTAGAAAACAGTGAATGAATACTTTTAGCTTGTTATTTTGAAATAAGTGCAGACCCGCAGAGAGAAATTGCAAGAACTGTAGAGCACATTCCTAGATGCCCTTTGCCCAGATTTGCTGGTAGTTAATGCCCTTTGACTAGCTTTCCCACTCTTCCTCTGTATTGTATGTTATGTTCCTTTGAACCGCTAGAGCATAGGTTGACAGGTCTCAAACCTCTTTACCTCCAAATATTTCAGCAAGTACATTTTTGAATCCCAAGAAGCTCATGTCTGGATTCCTAGAAGCTCATGGGTCCTAGCTTAAGAATTCCAGCCTGCAACTTTTCCATGGGAGACTTGGCTTTCCCCCACTGGGACTAAAGGCCCCTTTCTCCCCCAGGAAGAGCCAGCAGTAGTGCCTGCCCTCCTAGGCCCATCCAATGGTAGGTTCTGCATTCTATTCCTGTTCATCCCAACCCCTGGGCGGACCTTGTGGAGGGTACAGGGCATGGGGGTCTGGAATTTCAACCCTCCCTCCTCAGCAGAGTCCCAGAGAAGCATCTCCCCGGAACAGAGGAGCTGGGCAGCCTTCTCCACCTCTCCATCTTCTCCTGGAACCCCCCTGTCCCCTGGAACCCCATTTTCCCCTGGGACCCCCCCTGTCTTCCCATGCCCCATCTTTCCTATCAGTTCACCCTTATGTCACCCCTGCCCATTCTCCCAGGCCTCTTCACACCCCTGTCCACAGGCCCCCAGCTCCCCACTCCCATCCTTCTCCAGTGCTTCTCAGTTTCCACTCTCATCCTCTCACCTTCCTACGGGTTCTCTCCCCACCAGCTCTCCTCAGCCACTCTCTCCTAGTTGTTCCCAAGTCACTCTTAACCCCTCTCCTTTTCCTGTCTGCCCCTCTCCTCCTCCCCTCCCCTCTACTACAGCAGCCCCTCTCCTCTCTCTGGCTAGTGCCTTCTCTCTGGCTGTGATGACTGTGGCCCAGTCCCTGCTGTCCCCCTCCCCTGGGCTGCTTTCCCAGTCTCCGCCAGGTCCTCTGCCTAGCCTGCCCCTTCCCCTTGCTTCTTGTGGCCAGGAGAGCCTTTCACCCCAAACAGCTGAGACCGAGAGTGAGGTAAGTCGGGCATGAAGAAGGATGTGGGGAGGGCTCCGTTCTGGATCCTTTCCTTCCTCATGGTATCACACTTTGTAGGCTTCCCAAAATTCTGCCCAGCCGCTACTGGGTGAAGCTAGACTGGCACCCATCTCTGAAGGTGAGGCCTCGAATCCCTGACCTTCCCCTGCCTGTTACCCCCAACACATTTCTTTATGTTCTAGATTTCTTCCATCCCCCTCACTTCCCTCCTTATCTCCCTGCAGAAGGAAAGCCCCAGCTCGTCGGGCGTTTCCAAGTGACTTCATCCAAGGAGCCAGCCGAGCCACCCCTGCAACCAGCACCAACTCTCTCCAGCTCCCTAAAACTTCCAACCCCTCAGCTGACCTCAGAGAGCTCAGACACAGAGGACAGTGCTGCCGGAGGACCAGAGACCAGGGAGGCTCTGGCAGAGAGTGACCGCGCAGCCGAGGGCCTAGGGGTTGCGGTCGAAGAGGAAGGGAATGATGGGGTCCGAACTGGGGGAAGCTCCCCACTCCTGAGTCATCCCAGCCCGGTGTGGATGAACTACTCCTACAGCAGCCTGTGTCTGAGCAGTGAGGAGTCAGAGAGCAGTGGGGAGGACGAGGAGTTCTGGGCTGAGCTGCAGAACCTTCGGCAGAAGTGAGTCTGGGGAAGCCGGCAGAGCTAGAGGTAAACCTGGAGAACAGAGTGTGTGACTATCCTTTCCCCGCCCTCGGTGCATCCTCAGGCACTTATCGGAAGTGGAGGCACTACAGACCCTACAGAAAAAAGAAATCGAGGACTTGTACAGCCGGCTTGGGAAGCAGCCCCCACCCGGGATCGTCGCCCCGGCCGCTATGCTGTCCTGCCGCCGGCGCCGCCTCTCCAAGGGCAGCTTCCCCACTTCCCGCCGCAACAGCCTGCAGCGCTCTGAGATCCCTGGCCCTGGTGAGATGGCAGCCACCCAGCTCTCATCTCTCCCTTGAGACTCCTCCCCTACTGACGCCATCTTTCAGGCCCTGGTGGTCTACCCTTGGTTCTGGGGGACTAGCCCCGCCCCTGGCTGCCCCTTCCTTCACTTAGCACTCTCCCTCCCTCATCCTGCTCCCAGGCATCATGCGAAGGAACTCTCTGAGTGGCAGCAGCACTGGCTCCCAGGAGCAGCGGGCAAGCAAGGGGGTGACATTCGCCGGGGATGTTGGCAGGATGGTGAGGGCGGGCCCAAGGGAGGGAGAGCCCAGGGAACGGTGACTGGCAGCGGCTTTGTCTCCTTTCCCCTTTGGGCATCTCTTCAGCACTTTTCTTTTCCCCTCCAGTGAATTCAGAACAGAAGTCCTATGTCTCCCCAACACCAGGTCCACCATGGCACTTGGGCTCTCAGAATCTGATGCTTTTGTGACCAACTGAACTCAGCACAGAACACCCCAGCACTGAGAGGGTATAGAAGGCCTGTGGGCATGCACAGTGCGGTTGTGTTATCCTGAAGAAGCAAACATATGGGAACTCTCTGCTGTGTGGAAATATCATTTCTGTAGCCTACCCCACCTTCGTCTTCCGCTCCTCCCCAGGCAAGGGCCAACCACTAAGCAATCCCACTCAAGTCCAGATGCTTCTAGAAGGCCAGCTTCCAGCTGGGAGTGTAGGAGGTGTGCTCACACCACCAACCAAAGTTAACAGCAACCAATAAAAATACTGGAAAGGACTGTGGGTCTGTATCTGCCATGCCTTAGGAACCGGGGGCAAAGACTTGTGGGGTGAGGCAGATGAGGACAGAGAAGGCATTCTCCTTTCACAATGGCAGGCAGGATAGAAGCTGCCCAGTTTCTGGCTTTTTGCCACCAGGTCATGAGGAAACTACATGACCAGTGATCCACCTGGCCAAGCTATGATCCCCTGCAGACCCCACCCTAGGCCTGTACAGGCAGGTACCAGTGAATGTTAAAAGAATGAAGGTACTTGTCTCTTATCCTTCATCTGCCCATCCAGGGACGGGAAAAGGCTGTGTGACATTAGAGTCTGTTCTTGAAGGCAGGGAATGAAAGAGTGACCTTCCTTCCCCTAAGACCTGGTTCAGTCTCAAACAGTCCAGTAATCTCTCCCTTAAATCAGGTGGAAAGATCTCACGGAAAAAGTAATTCTAGTTAAACATTTACAGCTCCCTGGGGCAATGCCACCACTGCAGCTCCTGCCAGGGAGCTTTCCAGTGTGAAGTGCCATGTGTGTCTCGGGCCCCCACACACTAGCTTGGCTTCAGGAGAGATGACTCATTTTATTACTCTTAATTTGACCCTATCTTTCCCACTTTAGGTTCCAACTCTGCAGATACGCCACACCCTCCCCCTTAACAGTTGGGCCCCTGGGAGGTGAAGGGGTAAACCACAAAGTTTGGGGAAAGGCAAGGTCGCATACCTCTCAAACAAGGAAATTAGAAGGCTGAGTAACTGTACAAACTGCCTGTAAAATGAGCAAGCCCCCTTTGGCAGTGGCCAAATGCACAGTCTCTGGCTTCTTGGGCTCAACCATCGTCTGAAGTTAGTACACCAGCGATGCTGTGAGCTCACCCAGGCGTCACATAACATGTACAGGGGCTCCAGCAGTTTGAAGATGGTCCGTACAGTTAGGGTCCTGCCGCTCTTTCCCTCTCAAGAGCTCGGGCTCGGGCTGCTTTGGCTTCATCTTCCAGCTCATCAAGGAAACGTTCCTGAGCCACTGAATAGAAGGTGTAACCATCTGGCGGGATGGGTTCAGGAAACCACAAAGCATATGGACATTCCTTCCTTCTACCACCTTTGTTATTACCCCAAATTAATGATTTTGGAGTGCCACCCTTTTCTGCCCCTTTTGAACCTTTAACTCCGTTGTTATTACTAAACCACTAAGAGCAGCGAACATATAGTAAGATTAGGAATTAACCCCATTTTGGCCCACACATTAAAGGCTACACGTTTCGTTCCCTTTTCCCCAACCCGATAAATGGTATAGCAGGACGGATACAAATAGCTAATACCAGGGCCCCGATGCCCAGGCCGGTCACGATGTTCCGGGTCCGCCGCTGTGGCAGTGTTTTCTGCCACTGGGAAAGTTGCACCTGCCGCATAAACTGCAGTTGCGCGGGGGTCAATTTGTCCCGCGATGGGTCGATGCGCTGAGCGAACGGGACATTTCCATCCTTAGCATTCAGAGGGTCACCAGCTCCGGAGGCCGCCATGTTGCTGCTCCGCCCTAAGCCGCCCAGCCCGGAACTCGCCGGGAATAGTAGTCTGACCGCCGCAAGGGACTCTGGGAGTTGTAGTCCGCGTGGAGTTTCCTGGGTAGAGACAGGGTCTCTCCGCCCTAGAGGAGGGGCAGGGAAGGCGAGAAGCGGTTGCGTTTCCTGATTGGCTGAGCGCTTCGTGGCAGTTGGGGCGCGAAAAGCTGTTGATAGTTCGAGGCTGTGGTGGGAATTGCGTTTTCCTCAGATTCGAGGCAAGGACAAGCATTGGAAGGAAAGGAAGAATCCAAGAAGATTCTGGAAACAAGCTAAGGAAGCCAGTTTATGGGTCCCGTGGACTGTCCCAGGGCTCCGAAAGACTTCTGACGATGGAAGGACCCTCGCGGCCTAGACTGGCTAACTCCAGTGACTTCCAGTTTGGAGCAGTTGCCACAGAGACCATCGAAAACGCTCTGCTTCACTTGGCCCAGCAGAATGAGCAAGCAGTGAAGGCGGCGGCGGCGGAACGGATGGGCAGCTTCAGGGAGACCCGGATCGTGGGTGTGGATGCAGAGTGGGGAGTCGGGTTTATGGGAGTCTTGGGAGCACTAACCTTTATTTTTTTCACTCCAGTATATTTTGTTAGTACCCTTTTTATGCTAGGTCGTTGGGCTCGTTAAGTGATGAACGAGGCTTCCCAGCACTCTTACTCTTGATTCCTACCCCCACCCCCAACCCCCCACTCCGACCCCGGCCCTTCTCTTGTCCTTTTTTGAGACAAGGTCTTACTGTAGAGTCCTGGCCTGGAACACTCTCCGTAGCCCAGGTTAGCCTCCAACTCACAGAGATACACCTGTCTCTGGCTCCCAAGTGGTGGTGTTTAAAGGCGTATGGCATCGTGCAGAGTTTTACTCTGCTTTTTGTAAATATGCTTAGAGTGCTTATTATTGACATTGCCTGGGATGGAAAGATGAAACAGCAATATAATCATTGCTCTCAAACTGTGTACTTTGGGTGGGGATACTAAGTATACCAACAAGTAGGTACAAGTGTGGTTAGAATGATTGCCTTAGGGAATACAAGCTATTATGAACATTTAAAGGAGTGATAAGCTGCGGTCCAGGGATAGTGACAGTTGAGGTGCACCTTGAATGAATGGTGACATTTTGGTTGAAGATAAAGGGAATCGCATCTCTACCAGAACAGGATACCATGAATAAAGCTTTGGAAGGCAGGAATGGGGAGAGGGAGTGGAGGGTACAGTTGTAGCCCAGGTTGACCAGAGCATGTAGAAAAGCAATAGAAATTAAGACCAGGAAAGTAGTTTGGAGATATTTCAAGTAGGAATTTGAATGTCAAGGGGGAGGTCTTTATACTTGGTTTAGCAGGAAAATGAAAGTTACTAAAATTTGTTATTTAATTTATTGTATGTGTATGGGTGTTTTGCCAGCATGTATGTATATTCACCCTGTGTATACTTGGTGCTAGAATAAGCCAGAAGAGGGTGTTAGATCCTCTGAAACTGGAATTATAGGCAGTTGTGAGCCACCTATGTGGGTGCTGGAAATTGAACAGATCTGGAAGAGCAGTGCTCTTAACTGCTAAGCCATCTTTCCATCATGAAGACACTGAAATTTAAGTGAGGAAGCAGTGTGACTGTAATTTTTGCCTCGGTAAAAATGATTTCTGTATGTATAAAGATAAAGGATGGACTTGACTGGAGAAGGTGGGCTAGAGGAGCCCATCTGTAGTCAGAATGATAATGGTGTGTGTGTGTGTGTGTGTGTGTGTGTGTGTGTGTGTGTGTGTGTGTGTGTGTGACAAGAATGTATTTAAAATGTCCCAGAGACAAACATCTAGAAAGCCAAATTTTCATTTAAGAAATAAAGAAGGTAAAGTTGATTGCCAAAGGGTTGAGCCTCAGAGACTGGGAACATAGTGGTGCCACTAAGAGAATTACATCCACACATGCAAAATACAGAAATAAGAAAATGTGACCTTTGTTTTAGGGGGAAATTGTTTTGATTTGGATCTACTGAGTTAAAGATATTTGAAGATCATCCAGAAGAAGGTTAATAGCAGATTATTTAAAAAGGTTAGAACTAGATAGAAATAAAGGTTTTTTAATTATTTTCATGATACTCCAAGAAGGAGAGAAGAGAAGCAGGTCAAGGACAATTCCTTAGGGAAACATTTTGTGTTCAGGGAAGAGTCAATAATACAATGAGCTGCATGTTGTGGCTCAGGCAGTAATCCCAGGACTCAGGAAGCTGAGGCAGGAGAATTGCAAATTCTAGGCCAAAGTGAACTACATAATGAGTCTCAGGTTAGCCTAGCCTACGATACACCAGTACCCCATCTCAAGAGTCTGGAAAGATGGCTCAGCAGTTAAGAACACTTGCTATTCTTCCAGAGGATCCGGGTTTGGTTTCCAGCATCCACATGGGCAGTCTGAAATCACCTCTAACTCCAGTTCCAGGGGACCCAATCTGTTCTTTTGATCTCTGCAGACACTTGCACGAACGTAGTGCACATATATGCTCAGTCCCACACACATACACATAAAATAAGGGACTGGAGAGAAGGCTCAGTAGTTAAGAGATTATGCTGCTCTTCCAGGGCACCTAAATTCAATCCCCTGCAACCCACATGAGGCAGCTCACAACTGCCTCTAACTGCAGCTCCAGAGGATCCAACAACTTCCTCTGGCCACCAAAGGCACTGCACTCACTCACACACACACACACACACACACACACACACACACACACACACACACGCATATACAATTTTTAAAAATCTTTTAAAAAGTAAAATAATAAAGCAAAAAAAAAAAAAAAGGAAAGAAAATCCACCAACAAACAGTAGTTGGGGAGACAGGCATAGAACCTAACATTTTTGAAGCCACCAGGAGGGTTGGGAAGGGTAGTGGTCAGCAGCCGGGAAGATCTTGGAAACAAGAGCAAGGTATGACGTAGTTCATTCGGCCTAACCCAAACTCGGTTTCCTTGAGAAACTAAAATAAAAACAGAAACAGTTCTCCGAGTAAGTCCTAACAAATCTAAAACAAAATCAAAGATCTGGGAACAAGCATGCCCTGAACTAGGAAATAAAGCCCAAGGTCCAGCAAATAAAAAGACAATGGTCTGGCTGGTAACATACAGTTGTGTTCAGTTCTCTTCCTCGATGGAGAGTGTTAGCAGGGCTGCGGTCTTTGTAACAAAGCTTTGTGTATAAATCTCTTTGTAACTTGTAGTAGGTATATTGCTAAACTGTCTTTTGGTAGCTTGACTTTGGTTTTTTTGTAGGTTTAAAAAAATTTTTTTGAGACAATCTAGCCTTCAATTTACTATGTAGGTGAAGATGTCCTTGAACTCCTAATCCAACTGCCTCCACCTGCTGAAGTTACAGGCATTTGCCATCATGCCTGATAAATTGTTTTTCTTCTAAGAAAGTCAGATTTTCTTGGAAGACATATGACAATATGATTATGTGCATACAGGCTGAGATAAAAGATCTCCAATCTGTAATTCTTTGCTGATCAATGATAAAGGTTCTTGGATCTGCAGTTTTCTTTACTGAGAACTGACATTTACCCTGTTTCCACCCTCTAATGATATTGCAAACTAAATAGAATTTTATCTGAGGCTGTTCTTTCAAAGGAAAACGAAGCAGGATAAAATCTTGCCAAAGTATCTTACCCTCCCAGCCTCTCAATGATTCTTCCCTTCTAAATTGGGTTGTGTTCTCTGAGTCAGGGGACGTTTCTTCCAAACAAGTCACTCCACAGTAACAATAGAGATTTACACAACAAACTGGTGGTGGAGAGGTGGTGACCAGCTGCAAGGTGAATTGTGTTTGTAAAGCAATGGGAGTTCTGCAGAGGGTGGTTACTAAACAAACAGTGTCATAAAGACTATTGAAGCTCCAGGAGAGACCTTTCTGTTCCTGCCAACATTCCACTGAAAACAGAATATAAGGGTTAGGGTGTTTCATCCATCCAAGAATCTTCCATGAAGCTAGGGGTTCCCAGCAGGAGGTAGAGACCAACTAGGCCAGCTGGTGTATGTTTGTGTGTAACTGACCAAACCTTTTATTGGCTGAGACGCACAGGAAGGCTCAAGCCTCACGCAGGGAGCTTGGTAGGCCCTTGACGCTGGCATGAGTTGGCCTCCCTCCCATGCCTCTGATCTGCCTCCGGGCAGCCAAGGGAACTGAGCTGGGCTCTGGTTGCTCCAGTCTCGTCTTTCTCACCTCCTGACCCTGTCCTCTCGGCGCCATCACAGCTTTCACACAATGCCGGGTTCACAGGGCGGCTTGGGTTGCATCTTGTGAATTCAGCTCTTCTCTCCTGTTTTGGCAGAGTTTGTTTTCCTCCTGTCTGAACAATGGTGTCTGGAGAAATCTGTGAGCTACCAGGCTGTAGAAATCCTAGAAAGGTAAAGCCTGTGCCTAAGGCCTTTGTGCTGGTGCCCCTCAGAATGGGCTGGTGCCTAGATCTTTCCACAGCACTAGCTGCCCCTTACCTAGAAGCTGGCCTTGCACCCTTCTTTGACTTGCAAATGTAGATCTCCTAGCCAGCATCTGTTACTGGCAGGATCAGTGGAGCATGTCTATAGCACAGAGTCCCCTGGTTGGTGTGATTGTGAGTTACTCTCCATCCCTTTCTTCCTTTACAGGTTTATGGTGAAGCAGGCAGAGAACATCTGTCGGCAAGCCACAGTCCAGCTGAGAAATCATAAGACAGAACTGCAGAAGTGGAGGACTCTGAAAGAGCAGCTTTTCAACAAGTTCACCCTCCGCTTGGTGTCCTGTGTCCAGCTGGCCAGCAAACTGTCTTTCCACTACAAAGTGAGGAGCTGGGCTGCTCGTGGGCACCTGAGTGTTGGAAGGAAAGCAGCTCAGGGAAGGTGGCTGTGGGAAACCTGCTTCTAAGCTAGGTGATACTACTCATGTGGAAATTCCAGAGCGTAATTACGCTTCCTAAGCATACCTCCTGAATCCACACACAGTCACACAGAGGCAGTTATTAAATAGCCCGGAGTTCTGTTCCCAAAGTATAATTGCTGGACAGATGCCATCATTCATACAGGTCACCTTTCCTCCCCTTGGACTTAAGGACAGTTTACATAAGGTACCTGAATTACCAACATGCCTATCAGCATTAAAGGAGAATGATTACACCTAAAAAGGATACAATGTTTCCACATTACTATCCAGTGCCTTTACAATAAAATACCACTCGTTCAGCAAATATTTATTGAGTTTCTTCTATGGCTAGATGTTTCAGTAGATACCATGGCTACCACAGTAAAAAATATTGCCTGTGCTCTCAGGGAATCCCTTACCCAATGGGAAAAGGCATAGGTGTAAACAAGGTGAAAAGTTGATGTTAGTGTAAACCCAGGCCTAAGAAGAAACCTCATCAGCTTGGGGAGTCAAGGAAGTTTATTTCGAGAAAATGAATTATTGAAATTGGCAGGTGGGGAGATAGTGGCTACAGAGAAAATTGAAACAGAATTAGGGAGGGCAGGGAGAAAGGAACAGGCAGAACGGGAGGGGAATCCAGCATGGAGAAGGGAGAACCATGGTTTAACTGCAGGTAATCCTGCTTGCATGATTTAGTGGATTACCAAGAGAGAAGACCGATGTGGGCTTGAAGTGCTTTGTGGATGCTGCTGAGGCATATGACCTGCATCCTGACATCTGCCAGCTTTCCTCAGCCTTTTTTTTTTCCCCTCAGATAATCAGCAACATTACAGTCCTGAATTTCCTCCAGGCTCTTGGTTATATATGCACCAAAGAAGAACTGCTAGAATCAGAGCTTGATGTTTTGAAGTCCCTGAACTTCCAGATAAATCTGCCCACTCCTCTGGCATATGTGGAGATGCTTCTTGAAGTTCTAGGTACTTTATTAAATGTGTCAGATGTGGGCTGGAGACTTCCAGAGGGGAAAACAAATGTGCCCAGGGATTTGGGAACAGGAGACAACCTACCAATGAGGAACAGTTAGAAGCCTGCGTGTTTCTGGATGGCTGAAAATGTTCCCCCCAGCACTAGTCAGGGAAGGTAGCTCAGAGGTCTCAGCACCTGATTTCTATTTCGATTCATTAGGCACTTTCTTTTCTGTTTTTGAGACAAGGTTTCTTTGTGTAACAGCCCTGGCTGTCTTGGAACTCTTTTGTAGACTAGGCTGGTCTCCCAAGTGCTGGGATTAAAGGTGTGCATCACCATGCTGGGCTCATTAGGCATTTCTTATGGCAGGATCCAAGAGCTGGGTTGATGGAGAAGCATAAGTCAGAACAACTGTACTGTAATCGTATGTATGTATTACAGATGGAGATCTGTTCTTTAAAATTAACCTCTGGCCAGACGCATAACTTTAATACCAACAGTTGGGAGGCAGAGGCAGGTGGATTTCTAAGCTTAAGTCCAGCCTGTCAAGCCAGACAGGGCTACACAGCGAGACCCTGTCTCAAAATAAGACCTTCTGCTAACAGAGCTTTCATAGTAAGTGTGTAACAATCAGGAAGCACATTAGCAACGTATCCGCAGTATGTCCTAAGATTATGACTAGAGAACACAACTTCATGCTGTCTTTCATGCCCAAACTCTGTGTAGGGTACAATGGCTGTTTGGTCCCAGCCACACAACTACATGCAACTTGTCTGACCCTCCTTGACCTGGTCTATCTTCTGCATGAGCCCATATATGGGAGCCTGCTGAGGGCTTCAATTGAGAATTCTACACCCAGTCAGCTGCAAGGGTAAGAGACTGTTCTAGGGTAGGCCTTCCAGGGTTTCGTAGTAGGGTTCACATCATATGGATATGAGGCCTTGGGGGCTTGGAGCTTAATGTAGTACTTGCCCAGGAAATTCAATACCCAGCACTAAGAAAACACAGGTTAATTGGTTCTTACTGACTTCCATTATGTGGCTCACATGCTGATGACTGAACCCAATCAGGAGAACTCTAAAGGTTTTTACTATTAAATGTAAATTACTTCAAACAATTAACATTCTTTTCTAGTTCTTCTTTTGCAATTAGTTAACATTTGGGAGTGCTGGATTGCTTTTATAGTCACTTGAGGGGGAAAAGCCCGTCACATGGCTGTAACTTGGACAAAAGTATTTGATTACTGTAAAGTCAGACTGGCCAAAGCCTCACAATTACATTTGTTAGGAAGGGAGCTGGAAAAAATAAAAGGCCTGTCAGCCACCCAAGACACAGGTGCATGTTTTAATCCCAGTTGAGCTGGGGGACAATGGGACAGATCAGCTATTACCTGACCTCTTTTTTTCTGTGTCTAAAACTCCAAGACGAGCAACATGAACAACTCATAGTTGAAGTTCTATGACCCTAGAATTTAGAGTCACATTTCATACTACTTCCAAAATTAATCTGGTTTTAATTATCCAGGGAAAAGTTTATCTCTGTGAAGGAAGACTTCATGCTGTTGGCAGTTGGAATCATTGCAGCAAGCGCTTTCATCCAAAACCATGAATGTTGGAGCCAGGTACGCACCACTGAGTAGGGCCAGCATGATCAGAATTGGTTTAATAGAAAGCATTCCCTGTCATTTAAAGGAACACAGAGGACAGTGTGCAGAAGAGAAGTGCCAGGACCCAGGAACTGATGAACAGTCAAGAAGCGGGGGCTGGAAAACTAGAGCAGGATGGAAATGTTTCCATTTTCTTCTGTGAAATTGGAAATAGAGGCTCAAGTTCAGTTTGTTATCTCTCTTTATAATTTCGACCCACTGTTCTAACTTTAACAGAGGGAAACAACTAACTAGAGAGTCCATGTGAACACTATCAGGGCCATGACACTTGGCCATCAGCAAACATAGGAATCTGGATTTAATTTTGTGTTCAGAAAAATGAGAGCTTGTTAGGCTTGGGACTGTATCTCAAGACGTATTTCTGTTTGTGTGTGCATGAGTGTTTGTGCACTAACATGCTGAGGTCTTCTAGTAATAAGACCCTGTCTTTCTGAAGGTTGTAGAGCACTTGCAGAGCATCACTGGCATTGCCTCGGAAAGCATTGCTGAGTTCTCTTACGCAATCCTGACTCACAGCGTGGGCACGAACACTCCCGGGCAACAGCAGCCTGCTCCCCACAAGGCCGCCAGAGCTCTGCGGACTGCTGAGTCCTCTAACACATGAGGCTGGCTAACCCCACCACACAGCCTGTCACTGTATCCTCCTCCTCCTCTTTGTTTACTTTCATACTCAGGGTACAAAAGTTCCAAGTTTCCTTTGAACAGCACTTTGTATTCCAATTTCAGGCACTTTTTTTCTGTATCAGAGAGTTATGGTGGACAAACATGTCCTCTTGTGTCATAGGAGGCTAAAAACATCAAAGAATTGGAGGGAGTTAGATTATGAAATTGGTTCATTTTTGTTTGACAAGACATTTACTTTTTCTTAATTTAATCTAATTAATTGGGAACATCAGACATAGAGATAAGTATTACCCGTGGTTTTCAAACAGACTTTCAGTGACTTTGACTGGTGTCTCGGAATAGCCTTCTTCCTTGGCTACCTACCCGATAGCTGTTCGTTCGTTCTCTTTCTTTCTTTCTTTCTTTCTTTCTTTCTTTCTTTCTTTCTTTCTTTCTTTCTTTCTTTCTTTCTTTCTTTCTTTCTTTCTTTCTGTTTTTTTGAGACAGGATGTCACTATTTGGCCGTGGCTGGCTTGCAACTCACTATACATACCAGGCTGGGCTGGAATTCAGAGATCTACTTGCCTCTGCCTCCTGAGTTCTGGGATTAAGTACCATCATGCCTGGCTTACTATTTTATTTTTTAAACTAAAATATGTTTCAAAAGAATTTCTACAAAACTGACCAGAACCCAATTCTTCCAGAATACAAAATACTCAATTTTAAGGAAAAACTTACCGTCACACCTCTTGGTAATTAACAGACCATAGCAAATCCTTTATTACAAATAATTAAATCTCTCCATGTCTCAAACAGTATCAAACACAATTTCGTAATTCTAACAGATAGCAGAGTAGGCATTCAATACTAGAACTGTGTGAGGAAAGAGTTAAACTTCCAGCTTCTGACCCGGTTGTCATTTTCCCACATCATCCAGCTGTGTGCCACCAACATCATCTCAAAACTTTTCTGTTTCATATTTTAAGTGCAGGAAGTTGAGAGAGATAAAATCCAGTGAAAACACATCACTGTCAATTCAACTAACTTAAAAAAAAAAAAAAAACAAAGCAAATTTAAATTAGTTGTTTTCAGGGGAAAAGAGGGAAAGGAAAGCATGGGGCTGAGTGAAACCCATGGCAAGGGCTGTTTGCTATCCACAGCATTTTGTAGCTCTGGAAACTATCTGTCATAGGGTATTTTAAAATAAAGTGGCTTTTGTTTCTTTTGGTATTGTAAACATGTGGTTTAATATCACCCAGATTTAATTTAAAGCATCTTCCAAACCAATCCAAATATAAAACCTTAAAGGCAAACATCCCCTAGGGAATAAGTCACTTGTTATAGAACTGTGAGGACACCCAAGCAAGACCCCACTTCAGATTCGTCAGCATGAACTTGAGTGCTTTCGTCCATTGCTCCTCAGAGTTAAACTGTGTTTTGATGGAATAGGAGCCGCCACTGCCTCCAGTATCTTCAATCTTGCCTTTCTCCACATCCATCCTGCAGATGGACAAAGTGGAACTCATTAGAAACAGATCCAAGTCAAGTCAGCTCAGGCAAATGGGCAGGGACTTGATCATGAGACCATTCACGTCATTTTATCTAACAGAACACTTGGCGGAGAACTGCTGCTAGTGTGTATTTTGGATTTGCCTGAAACCCTAAAATGAAAGGCTGTCATTGTCACTGCAGAGTACAAGGACAGGACACACACCCACACAGATGAGAAGTCTGGAGCAGGAGGGGAGTGAAGGTCACAGGACTCTTCACTGTCTGCCTAGGCATCCCTGAACTTGGGGCAGAAAGGGAGGCAAAGAAAGAAAAACTCCGTACTAGGGTGTGAGAAAATTCAACTTTACTCCTTTTCTCACTACAAAACCCAAACCGACTTTTCAGATCACACATCCTTCTGCCTCAGCCTCCCGAGTGCTGGAATTATAGGTGTGCCCCATGTCACGTGGCTCTCAAACGCAGTCTCTTGAACTAGTCTCTATGCTGGGCTGCTACACTAAGAGAAGCGTTCTTGTACATTTCCAAAGGCTGCATGAAAAGCCTTTCCAAAATGAGCCTGCAAACTTGAGCTCTGTGCCACAGAAATCCCCATTTTCTTTACTCCAGGGACTAGGTGGCCACACTCGGTTCTGCTTGCAGTATCAAATCAGTCCTTGCCCATCAGTGCCATGTAACTGTACGATCTTTTCTTTCTTGCCATTTTTCCATCTATTTTCATTCACTGGCCCTTTAATTCAGTTTAGTCCCTGCTACAAGTTGACTGAGCCCTAAGAGGATAAGAGTGAACTCTCACCTGTAGGGAAGACAAAATCGTGTCTCGCCTTTCTCCACCTCTTCTTTGAACTGCTGCACACAGTCAAGAAAAGCTACCATTGCATGGTCAAACTTGTTGTCCCAGAAAAACCGCAATCCCCCAGAACAGTATAACGGCAACTCCTGCCCAAGAAGAGAGAACTGGCTTTGGGCATGTCCCCAGTCATTCCCTGCCCTCCAATCACCCAAGCTTTGTCTGCACCCACCAGAACATGTATTACAGTTGACTGATGTCTTCTATCACCTTCAACAACTCCAACAGCCCTGGTCAAAATCAACTCACAGCAGCTTCCCTACCAATGGAAATTTACTGAACTCCAGTATATTCCCACCCTCAAGTGCATGCTCTCCTCTGATCTGCCCAGACCCTTTCTCAACAGGCTGTTGTAGGAACCTGAATTTTCTCTATAAACTCCAAAGAGCTAAGTCTGAATAAGATGTTGAGATAGTCTGAGAAAGAAACTGAAAAATGTCAGCAGGTATGGAAACTAAACCTTTTTTTACAACACAAGGTCTTATGTACTTTAGGCAAATGCTTTATCTCCAAACTACATCCCTAGTCCCCAAATGAACCCATTGTTAGGATAAACAAGAACTCTAACTCCCAGAGTACCTTAGACTTGTCTGTCAGAGACTCCAGATATGAATGATTTCCATAGGGAACAAGTCGGTACCTAAAGTGGAGATGCAGAGAGATGGCTACAGGACTCCTACAGTGATTATTGCAAAGTTGCAACCCAGTAATTTTCAATCCGCATCTTACCCAAGGACTTTATTATTTATCATTCCCACCTACCTCCAACTCCCTATAGAGTCCATGTTTAAAGACTTAACTAAAAAGATTTCATCTATTATATAACAGGGTATTTATCAACTAATGTGTTTTGGCTTTGTTTTGTTTTTAAAATGACAGGGTCTCCCTATGTAGGCCAGGTTGACCTTGAACTTTTGATCCTCCTGCCTCAACTCCCCAAGTACTGAGATTACAAGTGTTCAGCACTGTGCCTGGTACTTTGGATTAGAAAGTGGGTTGCCCTTGTTCCAGGATAGCTATGAATGAGGTTCAACACATTTGTAGACCACAATATCATGTCATAGTATCAAAAGGTTGAACACACTGCTAGGTTTGTAAAAACAAACACTGAAACTTCATTAGGGAAAAATTAGGTTCTGGAGACTTTTGGGACCACTGCTGGAGTCATGCAGTTTGATGATGATTGCTCCATGACATTACAGGCAAGAGCCCTGTGCTGAAGGGAAACAGTGCACAGGCCCTTCACCCACAGGAAATTCTGTCTGCTGGCAGCAAGGGCTCTTGCCATAGTGGAGCAGTACCATGTGGTATGGACAGACTACGTCAAAGACCCACCTCACCCCAGGTGCTATGGAAGAGCTGCGTTTTCTCACCTCTGAAACTTCAGACCCATCTTATTGGCTAGCGCGTGGAGCAGCAGCACTGTCTGGCCCCAGGCAGCATTGATTTCATTCCACTCCACAGGAACACTGGGTAAGCGACCTAATCTGAAGTTATTGATTGTGCCAAACTGTCCACTGTGCCTACAGAGAAGGGCAGAAAGGGGGTCAGGGGAGAAATAGAGATTTCCCATTTTCACCCAAAACCTAGCACAAACTCTTTTCCTTATCTTTTTTTTTTTTTTTTTTTGGCTTTTTCGAGACAGGGTTTCTCTGTGTAACTTTCCGCCTTTCCTGGAACTCGCTCTGTAGCCCAGGCTGGCCTCGAACTCACAGAGATCTGCCTGCCTCTGCCTCCCGAGTGCTGGGATTAAAGGCGTGCGCCACCACCGCCCGGCTTCTTTTCCTTATCTTTAGATGCACATATCTAAGCTTCCCTTGGCTGCCCCAAACCTAAGGCATCGTCTTTCCCCCTGCTGTTTCGATGTCCAAGCAGAACTGAGTCATTGAATACTCTCATGCTCCTCCCCAAATAAAAAACAAAACCAAAAACAAATACCAAAGCCAAACAAACCCACCAGGCTCCACTGAGTCTGCCTCCTACCTTCCTCTCTTTTAGATTTATTTACTTTTACTTTATGTGTATGAATGTTTTGCCTGCATGTATGAATTTGCACCAATGCATGCCTGCTGGATTTCCTGGAACTGGGGTTACAGATGGTTGTCATCCACCATGTGGGTGCTGGAAATTGAACAAGTTCTCTGCAAGAGCAACAACTTCTCTTAGCTGCTGCAGAGCCATCTCTCTAGCCCCTCCTACTTGTCTGAAGTCTGTCCACTTCCCTCCGTCTCGGTGCTGCTACTCTTTCCCAGTTTGGAGTCCCAGCAACATACCTCCTCCCAGATTATTTCTACCATCCACAGATGCAAATGTACTCATACCATGTCCCTGTCTGAAATGTTTCCATAATTCCCTCTGCCTTTGGGATCAATTCCAAATGCCTTAAGAATGGTGATTCTCCAGTTTCATATCCGTCTCTTGCCCCTTTACACTCAATCTTCAGTCATAATAAGATCCTTTTAGTTCTTTCAATCTGCCACTCCCTTGCTCCTGTTTCTTTGCACACGATGTTCTCTTTGCCAGAACAGCTCCTCCTCTGTAGACATCTATTTCACCCCTCAGCCATATCAGCCTTCTCTGGGTGAAATTTCCCATGCAGCTTCCCCAAATGAGAAGGTAACCTTTCATGTTCTCCCAGCACGCTGGGCCCATTACTTATGCCTTCTTTCCAGGGAATAAGTAACTGGTATACTGTACATTGTCTGCTGTGCTCTCCTGGTGCTTAGCACAGTGCTCTCCACACAGCAGACACTCAGTAGTTACTAATTCAGTAATCAATACATGAGGGAGCCTGTAGTTTATAAATCCACACCAGGGCTGGAGGTGGCTTAGCTCTTAGGACCACTGGCTACTATTCCACAGGACCCAGATTTGAGTCCCCACACCCACACTGAGCTCACAGCTTTCTGTTACTCCTATCCCAAGGGGTCCGACGACCTTCTCTGGTCTCTGTGGGTGCCAGGCATGCATGTGGCGCACTGACATGCATGCAGGCAGACACCCATACACATGAACATAACAACATTTTAAAAGCAGCACCAGGAACAGGATTTGGTGGGCAGACACCACTAATCGCCTGTTGGTTTTTGTTTTGTTTTTTCATTTTTCTAAGACAAAGTTTCTCTGTGTAGCCTTGGATGTCCTGGAACTCACTCTGTAGACCAAGCTGGCCTCAAACTCACAGAGATCCTCCTGCCTCTGCCTCCAGAGTGTTGGGATTAAAGTTGCGAACCACCACTGCCTGGCTAACCACTCTAGAATCTTACTTGTAGGCACTCGAGTGTGAGCACTTGAGTGTGCGCCCACGTACACCACACATTAGACCTATCCTATTACAAGGAATGACATAAACCTGGCTTAGGTGAAGATGACCTATAGTGCCTCTTCTATGGGCAGGTGGTCACACTGGTGTGTTGCTAACAGATATGAAATGCTTCCCAGATGTGCCTCTCCCAACCCCCAGCGCTCATTACCAGATATGGAAGGTTGCATTAAAGACGTTGGTTTTCTTCAGCTTGTCCAGCTGCATCTGGGCATACCGCATCTGGTTTTCTACGCTCTTCAGCTCATCATCGAGCTCCAGCTGCTGTCTTTTAAATTCACTGTATTCCCGCTGGTACCTGTGAGCAGCCAAGGGGACCATAAAGGGCTGACAGTGGAGGTTGCAGGCTCTTTCTCATCATTCTACTGAAGGATTTACTCTAGTGGTGTAG